TTTTTTCGGCAAAAAACGGCTTACTATACATGGTCGTTTTTTTCATCCAAAAACGCCTTACTATACATGGTCATTTTTTTCGGTTAAAAACGCCTTACTATCCATGGTCGTTTTTTTCGTTTAAAAATTCCTTACTATACATGGTCGTATTTTTGGTTAAAAACGCCTTACTATACATGGTCGTTTTTTTCATCCAAAAACGCCTAAGTATACATGGTCGTTTTTTTCGGCTAAAAACCCCTTCCTATACATGGTCGTTTTTTCGGTGAAAAACGCCTTACTATACATGGTCTTTTTTTTCGGCTAAAATCGCCTGAGTATACATGGTCGTTTTTTTCGGCAAAAAACGCCTTACTATACTACATGGTCGTCTTTTTTGGTTGAAAACACCTGAGCATACAGGTATGTGGTCATTTTTTTCTTGTGAAAAATGCCTTATTATACATGGTCGTTTTTTGGCTGTAAAAACGCCTTCCTATACATGGTCATTTTTTAGTTGTTGTGAAAAATGCCTTATTATACATGGTCGTTTCTTTCATCCAAAAACACCTAATTATAATATGTCGTTTTTTTCGGCCCAAAACGCCTTAGTATAATATGTCATTTTTTTGGGCCCAAAACGCCTTACTATACATGGTCGTTTTTTTCGGCTAAAAACGCCTTATTAAACATGGTTGTATTTTTCGGCAAAAAACGCCTGACTATATACATGGTCGTTTTTTTCGGAAAAAAATACTTACAAAAAAAGCCTTACTATCCGTGCGCATACATTTCAAAAAAACAGTCTTATGTATGGACAATAGTGTATAGTGTCCATGACCTGCGTGGTAGTCAAATGGTTAGTGCGTTAACGTTGCACTGTGGAGTTGCACGGTTCGATTACCTCTCGAGTCTTCCTGTGTGTTCTCAAAAACATGCATGGCTATCCATTTTGTGATACTCTTCCCCTATTCGCGCTCACACTCACACTGAGGAACAATATCGAACATTCATTCCCTACCTGGTAGTCGAATGGTTCGTGCGTCGGTGTTGTGCTGTGGAGGTGCAGGGTTCGATTCCCGCTCCGGCCGTTCGTTGTGAGGTTGCACGTTCTAACCGTGCCTGCGCAGGTTTCCAAAAATATGTGCGACCATTCATTTTATCCTCTTCGTGCTCACTCTTGACACCACGGGACAGTGTAGACACAGGGTTCCCACTCTTCCACTTGCTTATTATTTATGTACCTTTTAAGGACTTTTGAGGGCTAATTTAGCCATTTTTTAAGGACATTTTCTCCATGCAGCAGGTGATTCACGGTGGATTTAATGAACAGAAAACCACATATCACTGAGCTGGTTTTGAAATCATTGCTGCCAAAGGAAGGGCACATCTTTATTTTTAGGGGCAATCAGCGAACCCTTTTTTTGACATACTGTACGTCAAATTGGCCCAAAATGACCCGACGTGATCACGTGATCATCATCGGAACTGATGGAAGACGTCGGGAAAAGCAGAGCGGAAACCAGGAAGGCATGTTGCCCGACAGCGGGGTTTGAGGGAAAGGGCGTCAGGCGTATTTTCCGACAAAACTATTAATTGGAAGGGTGGGGAAAAATAACACACAAATGAAATGAACGCCACAGGTGAATTTTTCAGGATTTTTATTTCATTCTAGAAGCTTTCCCTGAAAATTAAGGACAATTAAGAACACTTTTTTCTGGACTACAGGGACCAGTGTTCGTGACCTGCCTGGTAGCCGAATGGTCAGTGCGTCTGCGTTGCGCTGCACAGGTGCAGGGTTCGAATCCAGCTCCAGCATTCCTGTGTGTTCTCAAAAACATGCATGGTTATCCATTTTCTGATCCATGGTCATTTTTTTAGGCCCAAAACGCCTGACTATACATGGTGGGTTTTGTTCGGCTCAAAACACCTTAATATACATGGTCGTTTTTTTCATCCAAAAACGCCTCAGTATACATGTTCGTATTTTTGGGCTAAAAACGGCTTACTATACATGGTCGTTTTTTTCGGCTAAAAACGCCTTACTATACATGGTTGTTTTTTTCAGCTAAAAACGCCTTACTATACATTGTCGGGGTTTTTTTGGGCTAAAAACGCGTTACTATACATGGTTGTTTTTTTTGGCCCAAAACGCCTTACTATAAATGGTAATTTTTTACAGCCAAATACGCCTGACTATACATGGGCTGTACTATATGTACATGTACAGATTATGTACTATACCTGTTTCTGACAAGTATTAAACTCTGCCTTTTCTGTCACTTTGGATTAAATTTAATCAAATGACAACCTATTTAGGCGGGACGGTGACATAATGGTTAGGATGCCCGCCTCACAGTGCAGAGGTGCAAGGTTCGATCCAGCACTTGCTGTCTCGAGTTTGTATGAAAAGTCAAAAAGAGGCATACAAATCTTAAATATTCCACTATGAGATTTGTATGAAAACATAGTAATGTGTGGTGTATTTTAACATTTTTTCTCATCAGCTTTTGATGTGAGCCGTGTTTATTTTTATAATTTGAATAGGCAGAAAACCAATAAACGGTAAGTGCCAATTAAACTAACATACCAAACCAATTACTCTGAACTAGTTTAGTCAACAGCACTATTCATTTTGCCTCCATTTCTGAGACGTTGGGACGTGATGAACAACCTAATAAATGGATGATTGTCCTCCCCAGGGAACTGTAATCTGGTGTACGCTATCATCCGCAAGCGTAACATCTTCCACCAGCTAGCTAATCTTCCATCGGACCCGGCCACCATCCAGAAGGCCCTGCAGAGAAAGAGGAAGTCGCCTGACGCCATCTCCCGTACCAGCTCGCAGGAGACTGTCTCCATGGAGGGTTCCCGCCCCGCCGTGCCAGCAGAACCTGGCACCCTGAAGGCCAGCCTGGTCGCCATACCTGGTAAATCAAGCTTTTATCATGAAAAACACAAAAAGCGGTCTTTGAAGGAGCTGATGTTTGTATTTCTTAACAGGCATTGACAAACTGACTGAGAAGTCTCAGGTGTCTGAGGATGGTACCATGGTGTCCATCCCCAAGCTGGAGCACTCGGAGCAGATCACAGCCAGCGGGACCAGCGACACTGAATCCATCTCGGGCAAAGACAATGAAGTTAGTGTGTATTTATTGCAAAAAAACAAAACAAAAAAAACAAAACGGAACCACAGGGAAGGGAGGGCTCGGTGAGAATAAGTGGCTCAGCTGAGGCCAGTACTTTATGGGTAAAATCCAAGTAGGATTGGGCACTTGGCTTTGGAGCTCAAGGAAAACTGTGTGTACCGGTAACTCTTCTTCCCAGGATGTTTTCTACACTGAGGCAGAAATGGAGAGAACACGTTTGTCAAGCGTCTCTTCAGCATCACATTGGGCTCCCACACCAGAGTGGGTAAGTCGATTTATCTCCTTTTCGTAATAAGAACTTAACCTAAAACAAAAGCATTTTAACTCTGTTTTTTCCTGTTTACCTTTGCCCAGGTCCTCTCCTGGAAGCGTAAGCTCCCCTTGCAGACCATCATGCGTCTGCTGCAGGTGTTGGTTCCACAGGTGGAGAAGATCTGCATCGACAAGTACGCGCTTGTTGGATCAGACGCCTTTGTTTGTCTTGACGTTGGTGATATAAACATTCACGTTGATGGTATGTCACGACAGGGGTCTGACAGATGAATCGGAGATCCTCAAGTTCCTCCAGCACGGCACGTTAGTCGGCCTGCTGCCCGTTCCTCACCCCATCCTCATCCGGAAGTACCAGGCCAACGCTGGCACGGCCATGTGGTTTCGCACCTACATGTGGGGTGTGGTCTACCTGCGGTGAGTATTGGAATGTATCTAACAGGTTTACTCTATTGGGATTTCATAAGAAACGGATTATAATTGTCCCCCCTCCCCTTCTCTTCAGCAATGTGGACCCTCCCATATGGTATGACACGGACGTGCGCCTATTTGAGATTCAGAAGATGTAGACTACAGAGCGCGAAGCTGTGTTGAAGGCACCTCATACTCCTCACGACGCATGCCGAGTGCTCGTTTATCAGTTAAATATTTTCAATAGGCAACTCGTTACATGTTGTTCTGACCTGTGCAGCTGGTTTTAGTTTTAGACGAGGGGGGGACAAAATCTGGTTATATGACGTCATAGCAATGTATTTTTTGCCACTGCAGCATGGGGGGCGGGGGGTGGGGGGGGGGCAGCCTCCAATTTGCAGATGCACTTTGGTATTGAGTTAGGATGCTTGTTTGACACCTCATAAATATTCCAAACAGGAATTCTCAGCAATGCCAATTGCCACAAAAAGTCACATACGTCACTTAACTTTGGGGGATGATGCTACTTGAAATGTTTTAAGGTGAACTTCCACCTTTTAATGCAGCAGTACAAACTAGACTGGATTGTTTTGTTTCTGACGTTGCTTGTTCAAAACTGTACATTATATATCGCTATGTGAAATGTGTCAAATGCTAAATGCAGTAACTAAATATTTTGAGAAAAACTGAAGTCAAAGGGGTTTTTTTGGCCAGAAGATGACACTGTTTCCCTCCCTTGAAGCAAGGCAACAATTATTTTTTTAGTTCAGCTGTGCTAGCCTTTGAAAACTGAGTTGACTATTTTGTTAGCCATTTTATAACAATTTCAGATTTTAAGACCCACAATATTGCTCAGTTTTGAAGTTTTAACAATATTTTGTGTGGTGGTGCACAAGTGCAATCCATCATTCTGACAGGCATTTCAGATCATTTGTCGCTAACGCAGGTGCATCCAATTCATCATCACAGGCCACAAAGTATTTACTGGTAATTTGTGCTCTGGCGTGCACCGTTAGAAGGGGAATTGCCCCTGAAACAAAAAAATTAAATAAGTTTCCATGGTGCAAATTCCTATAATCGCCAAGTGTTTCTTAGTTCCAGATTAAACATATTTGGGCAGGCAGCAGGAAAAAAACAAAAACTGCCATCATTCATGTTCCAATTTTATTATTACAAATTAAGATAATGAAAATTTTTAAAAGCTGCTGCACATACGAGGTGTGACGACTAGGAAAGGATATACACCTCGAAGAGACTGGCCACCGAGTGCATGCGGTAGAAGATTCCGAAAGGGAGTCCGATGTTGACGACGGCCGTCCACATGGTGAACTTGTAAAACTTGATCTCCACGGTGTGGTCGAACTGAGGCCGAGCCCCAAAGGCAGGCATGATCCACAGCTGGAAAGCCAACAACAAATAGCGTTAAAACTAAAACCATTATCTCAGTGTGCTGGGACAGGGATGCTCTCAAGTGGTACACGTAATAATCGCCGAAAGAATTGTCCAAACGGTGATTGTTAGTGGCTTAAACATTTTAACTAGATGATGTTGTTTTTAAGACAAATTTTTTATCAGCGTAAGATAATCAGTGGAACACTGATTCAAAAAGTGTGTTTAAAGCATTTGGGAGAACTAAGACAAAGAAAAAAAAAAGGTATTTTCTCTCTATACATAAGACTTATGGGATGAAGACTTATGACCACTCCCCCCACCCGCCACAATAAAACAGGAAGTCAGCAAAATGAATCGCAGTGTGTTTAACTTGCCATGATGTTGGTGAGCATCAGGAAGGCGCACAGTTCCTTCAGCATTTTCCTCTTCCAGTTTGGCCGCACACCCGCCATGAGCCTGCAGGTTGACTTCTGCCTCTTGGCAACCTCGCTCACCTCGGTGCGCGCGTTGGTGTGCTGGGCGTCTTCCTGCATGATGTGGAAGGGCTCGCGATGGAGGCCCTCAATGATGAAGTAGTTCTGCAGGCACAGCTGCAGCACCATGAGGACGGCCCACGACAAGTTGAGGGCGTCCAAGCGGTCCTGAGCCCCCGTGGCCGCCACCGCCACAATGGAGAAGTAGCTGATGATCAACTGGCCCATGGAGGCCCCCACCAGCAGCTGCACGTCCAAGCTGCGAGCGGGGTTCTTCTCTGACACGTGTTGACGGCGGTCCAGTCGGTATATGACGCATCCCGCCGCGGTGAAGACGCACATGAGGCTCACGATCACGATGTTCATGACGAAATGGATGAGCAGGGCACTGCGACGCACGGCCTGGTCCTCGAGGGTGATCTCCACCTCGTATACGACGAAAGTCACCAGGCCCACTGCGACGAGGAGGAGGCCCAGCACGGGGCCTGCGAGCACCTCCTTGCGATGGAACTTGGCCCTGCGTTGTCCCTTGTCATCCACCAGGCGGCCCACGTTCTTCCACATGACGTAGGCCATGGCCGAGGCAAAGAGGCTGTACTCTATGTTGAAGGGGTAGAGATAGTAGAAGGCCTCCTTGAAGGTGCTGCATGCAGAGTGACTGCAGCTGCAATTGACTCCTTGGTCGTAAGTGTCTGACATGGAGACAAGAACATATGCAGCGTGGGGCCTCAGCTCGCGAAATGACATTCTACTGTACACGGATGCGCACAATATCTTGGGGGCAGTCACACGCCAGAGTCTAGAAGACAGCTTACTGTTGAACGCAATCATCTTTAGTGTAACGCAAGGGAACCTGTTGACAGCATGCGGCAAGTCTACACACTTGTTAATTCATGAAGCCTTCCTTTAGATGCTCCTGTGGCTTAGTATTTAAAAGAGTGCAGGTACTACACTATCGTGCCTGCAGTCCAAACCTGTCTCCCATTGAAAACGCGTGACACATTATGAAGCGTGAAAGATGACAATGGGGACCCCAGATTGTTGAACAGATGAAGCTCTTCATCAAGCAAGATTGGAAAATAATTCCACCTACAAAGCTTCAATAATTAGCGTTCTCAGTTCCCAAACGTTGAGTGAATGTTGTTAAAATTAAAAGACAATATAACACAGAACCTGTGCCATCTTTTTTGGAACATCAAAATAAAGTTTATGAAATCCTGATATCTATACTTCTACTTGAGTAATGAACATGAATACTTAAGCTATGGGTAGCAGACATCGTAATAACCCCCAAACCTCTGTACATCTTGGGCGAGAAGCTGGCATTCAGATAGGGAGTGTCCATCTGGTGAATTGACTCTTCAGTGACGGTCGCCATCCACACCACCAGATTAGTGGATAGCATGAGCATGAGGCCGCACCTGGCGACGGGAAGAACGACAAATGAGGAATTTCTCGCCATGGCAACGGATCACTTTGGGAATGAATACTCAAGGGTGGCATTTGTACCGCGTCACATTTGCGTGGAGCTGCACGCAGTCCTTCGCGTGGACCCACAGGAAGTAAGTCTAAGAGAGAAACAACCAGTCAGACATTAATAAAAAAATAAATAAATACGACCAAAGTATTACAATAAAGGCCTTTTAATTTATCAGGAGAGTGGCTTGGAATTTTTAAGAGTTCTGCTATGAGTGATTGTTGTATTCAAAGAGCACGTTAAGCCAACTGGTAAATGGGCTCTGATGGCAAACTATTTAAGTCCAGGAAACGCCCCTCCTAAAACTTGCGTGTCACCAGTTATTGATCTTGGAATTAAATTAGAAAATTTTTCCCACACACATCCTGCTGTGTGCTCAAGTAACCCCCCAAGGGTATGTGTACCACTGGTTGGGAAACACTGATCTAGAGGATGAGAAAAACGTGACCTACATGACGACATCATGCTAATTGCTGTCTTCACACAGGTTAGCTTCCGGACCAACCCCACAAGAGACGAAATCCACAAAGTAGCGACCAATATATTTTACTTGCCGGGGAAATAATCTTGCAAAATGTGAAACGTGATGTCGCGAGGGACAACTCCAACATAGCAGGGACGCGAACAAATGACACTATTGCGTGTGAACACTATCATTAAATCAAGCATTGACTAAAAAGCAGTGTTTGAGGAAAAAATAAAAAATGGACAACCTGGGTTAGTAAAAACACTGCTTGCACGGCAGGGAAGGCCACTTTGACGGCAGAGTCGCAGTGAACGTAGCCAATGTAGTTGGCCATCTTGAAGATATCCATGAGCAGACTGAGCAGGCCAAACAGCACAAGTCCAGCTTAAAAAAATGTAAATAATCACAATGAGGTCATTAAATGAGTTAAAATCAACCATACAAATCCCTATAAAGTGATTAGGAAGTAGCAAATGATTCCCAACACAGTCGACTGTTTACCTCGGAGCCACACCGGCCCCGCGTGACTGTCCTGAGTCATGAGGTCTTTGTTCTTGCGATGAGTGACAGCGGTGTAGAAGAGCATCCAGAGCATGGTGAGGGTAAGGAGGACAATGAGGAAGACCTGGCGGTGCACAGCCGTGACAGACACGCTGTTGAAGGCGCTGCTGCTGACCAGCGCGCAGCCCAGAATGAGGACGTTGATGCACACGATGCCCGACAGGAGCCAGCCGCCGCCGTGGTGGGCGCGCTCGGCCACCGCCCCCACGTGGTGCACGTACTCCCGTGTCACCTCCATGTCATGCAGGTGCTGGATGTTCTCCATCTGGGCGGCTGTTTCGATGTTGGATGGGTGGGCCTCGACATCGCTGTTTGGGGTCTTCCTGCATGGCCATTCATATATATCATAAACAAGAGCAAGTATTTTTGTTTAAAGAGGATACCTTTCCATTAAATATGATCCCGAATTCCAATCTTACTCTTACAGAAATTTCATCAATGGGATATTTCTAAAATTCCACAATTTACCATTACATGGAAATTTACCAGAAACTTTGCAACCTTTAAAAAAAACAAGAAAGTTTGGGTCTTTTATCATGCGTGCCCTTTCTGATGAGTGATTAGTGGTGGCGGTCTCAAGTTGGTTTGCCACAAGGGTCTGATAACACCTATCAATACAAAGTGAAAGGAAACCACGAAGGAAAAGAACTGGTTCCACTTTCAAATTAATTCCCAATGCGAATTCAAACAGTCCGTTACCCTTCCTTAAAATTCTCCTGTTTTTGCTTTTACCCAATTTCACTGTGAAAATTGACAAGGTGCACCTAAATTTCATTGGGTGTCTGTTACAATGACAATTTTGAGTGTCTTTCTTCCATTGCTGCAAGTATATCTGCTTAATGTTCAATTTAAAAAGGCCCAGATTTGAACAAATACATTTGTTAATGCAGTTCGACGAAATGCACCACATGTATGCTGAGGTTTTCTCAAATATGTGCCTTGAAGTTCAAAATATGTGTCCTGCCCAGTTTAATGAGATTCAATAAAAGACCTGTGTCAGAATTCGGCCTTTACAAAAGCTCAGTGAGGGAGGAACTTGATTAAATTAACAATATTACGTTACAATTAGCATTTACGTGTTGCCTTACCTTGTGAACAAAAAGTTGCAGGTCCTTAGCATCTTTTGTGCCACAGTTCTCATGGCGTCTTTTAGCCTTCACACAAAACAAACAAACAAAACAGTAAAAACGAACTCTTCACGTCAGCTGTTACACTTTTTTTATATAAACAAGAGTGGAAATAAAAATGTGCAACTTGTAAGACTTTAAAAGGCATCGAAGCCATATCAAGTGAGAGAAAAGCCAAAATATATCTGTCCGCGTTTGAGGGCCGTACGATACGACCACCAGGTGAGATTGGTTTCAACTGATTACGGTCCAGTCGTCACTTCCGGCATATGTTCACACATTTCCCCCCTCCCCCCCCCAAACTTTTATTTAATTTATTTGTACAATATTTATCGACTAGTTGGCTAGCAATCGACTACAAAACAGTGAATATGAAAACTATATTTTAATTACGAGTTGAGAGTTTTCTTCTTGCTTCCATCTCTGTGGGAACAATATGCAAGTGTTTTTTTGTTTGTTTGGTTGTTTTGTTTATGTAGTACGCAAAATTGCATTTTTACTTTTGGGCTTTTTTTGTCCAGTTTTCACTCATAGTGACAGAGCTTCATACGCGACACTGTGTGTACGTTGCGCAGGGACACATCACTCAACAAAAATACACCTGTACCACTTCGACTTTAGCATGCAATCAAATAAGCGCCCCACTGCTTACCAGAAGCTGACATGAGCTAATCTTTGCATCCAACAAAACTCAATACTGTACACCTCTGCTTACCTTTGGGCTGTGACGTGACAGCAGTGGCATCATACTCGCATGGGATGTGGATGTTTCTGTATTTTAGACAGTTTGTCTGGCCACCACTTGAAAATAACTTGTGATCATCACTCAGCTGATCAATTCATCAGGTAAAGAAACATAATGCAAATAAGGGCCACTTTGTCATCACAGTGGGGTGGAAGTGCACAATGGCTTGCTCAGAGATATGTTTAGAAAAAGGCAGATAACAAAAGATTGTTTCCGAGCCAATACAAAAGTACATTCTCCATGGTATGTCTGTTTTAATAAATGCAGAAGGCATCACTTTGTATTAACCAGACAAACCACATTCTCCTTCTTTGAGAGCCACGCAATGAGATACAATGGCTCAATGAAATCGGCGTTGTACTTGTGCAGCAGCCTCATGGACCCGCTCACATGGTAAAATGACACATGGCCGGCACGGAAGTCAATATAAATGCCGATTCTTGTCACGTCCTGCGCTTCTAATGGCGTTTCCACGCCGGCGTGCCAGGCGGAGAGGCCTCGGCTGTTCCTCCCGACGCACCAAGAGAAGTCGTTGCCGGTGATGCAGCCGGTGCTTTCTCGGCCCTTGCGCTCGATGCTCTTGTAGGTGACGCCGACATGAGCCCCATCGCCACTCAGCTCCGCCTCGGCGTAGTGGCGGCCCTCGTAAACACTCTGTGATGTCATCGCTTGGCGCCAGTCCTCAAAGCGATCGGGGTGGTCCACGTAGCTGTGTTGCCATGGGCTGGTGTTGGTCACCTTCATGTTGTCCGCTGTTAAGCGCAGGAAGTTGTGCACGGTGTCTGGGTCAAATGTCAAATTCTTTGCATCTGAAGGGGAAAAACAAGTTGAAATTTCAGGTTGAACCTATTATGCAGAACAATGGCGCCTTGAGATATGAGACACCCGACAGTTGGAGGTACAAGCTGTCATTTTGTCAATAATTTGCTTTGAATTGTGAGCATAAACTTGTATGCTGATAGTGAACTCGAGTCACTCATAAAAAGCAGAACTTTTTTGAAATATATTTCTCAATTTTACAAAAAAGTGACCCCAAGCTGTTTTTGCCAGTCCCAGTTGAAGCGGACTGTAAAAAAAAAAAAAGGAAAGAAGCAAAGAGCGTTGAACATTTTGTATTTTTTATCATTGCGAGGAGATGAGTCATCCATGTACAGTATATCGTCTGTCTATCTGTTTTATACTGTCCCCAGGTGGCACAAACAACTTTTAACTGATGCAAAGTGTGTCAAAAATTGTTGAATTATTTTTAATTCTATTTCATTATGACATATTACATATGGTCTTAAAATAAAATATTAGTTATCTCATGAAATAAACATTTTAAAATGTGGTTGTCTTTTTTTTTTTTGGATGGCTGGAACGAATTATGGGCATTTCAATTCATTTCAGTGGGGAAAGATGACTTGACATGTCCTATTGATATACATATGTATTATATATTTTTTTTTACATTTTAAAAAGTCTTCTGAGTTCATCGGATCGGGCAACAAAACTTGCGGCGTCTGGGATTCGCCACCTGTTTGATAGATAAATACAAAACACAACCGTTAATCCACAGAGAGGATTAAAAAAATAAACAAATCACACTTCCTCGTCCCATCACACCTTGAGAAATGGTACTGAGATTCTCATGGTAGGAGGAGAGGATCAGGTCACACAGCTTCTGGGTGACACTGGCTACGACCTGGACGTAAGCATTCACATGGTCGACACGGGTCACGCTAACTTTAGGCAAGCAAACATCCGCCGCTCCCTCCTTCCACTGAGAGTATTCCTACAACAAAACGAAGGATCTGTGAGCATAATACCTTATTTATAGAAGATTTTTTTCCTCTCTTGAGCCTTTATGTTCCATCATGCTCAAATCTGTATACACTGTCAACCTTTGAGATTGCGTAAGAATTACATAACTCGTCTGGCACTGACCTGCAGGAAGGAGACATCGCACTCGCTTCGTGCCACTTTGTTGATCCTCGCCAAGGTCTTGCTCAGCTCCGCCTTCCTCTGCTTCAAGTGAGCCTCCACGCCCTCGGCCTGGCGCAGCGCTCGCCTCCGCTCTGCCTGCAGCCGCTCCGCCACCTGCTTCCTGGCCTCCGCCACCACCTCCTGCAGCCTGGAGAAGTGCTGATCCACCTGAGCAGATACGTCCTGCACCAAAGACTGGAGCCCAGACCACAGAAAGGAAGAGGTGGATTTAAGAAGTGGATATAGTCCTCACTGATGGCCCAAAACGCACCACCCACACCACCCACAACTAACTGGCAAGAAACCATTTGTAAACACCTCACAAGCAAAAAAATCATCATCAGTTCATTCAGGGGTAAATGGTACCGTCATGCCATCATTGTTGCTCCGCAGCTTCTCCATTGCTTTGTCGGTGGCCACGATGCTCCGATTGATCTCCTCGTGCTTTTTCTGCAGGTCAGTCTAGAACCAAGTGCAGCCAAATTGTGAAGTGGAACATGACAAAGACAATATCTGAGCCGATGAGAACTAGAGTGGGCTAACTCAGTTTTGCCATTTTTAAGTTAAGAGCAGAAATGAATTGAGGAAAGACATACTTTTTAGATAAAACGGCCGAGATAAAGGTTTTTGACATTTTTGGATTCCCACAACTATTGTGCAAACATTCGATGTCAAAAATGAAGTTAGCTCACACTGGTTCTCAGTTACAAAGAAGACAAAATGTCCACTCTAGTTCTTTTTATTAAAAAAAAAAAAAAAAAAAAGAGAAATATTTTGTCTATTGTAGTTCTCAGTCAAACAAAAACAAAAAACCCAAATGGAGCGAGCACCCTTTAGTCTGTTTTAAAAAGACAAAATGACATTAGCCCACTGTAGTTGTTTATTTATTTAAAAAATATATATAAAAAAATAAAAAAAAGACAAAAGCATTTGGCTCACTCAACTTCAGTTTCAAAAAGACAAAACAGAGTTAGACTATTCTTTGCTTAGTTAAAAAAAAAAAAGGCAATTAGCCCAATCTAGTTCTGTTTTAAAAAGAGGGAATGGAGTTAGCCCACACAAGTTCTGTTTTAAGACAAACTTGAGTTAGCCCACTGTAGCTGTCAGTTTTTTAAAAACGGGGAAATGGACTTAGCCCACACTAGTTCTCAATTTGCAAACGTAAACGTGTTCAGACCTCAATCTGAGCCCTCGCCTCCTCCAATGATGAAGTGGCGTGACCCTGGTGCCCCTGACCGCAGCAGTCAGAGCACAAGCAGCAGCCATCCGTCAGGCAGAAGCGCTCCAGGGGAAGACGGTGGATGTCGCACGTTTGTGCATCCACGTGGCGAAGAGGCTCTACCAGACGGTGGCTCTGGAACTTGGCGTTCTCCAGGTGAGGTCTGAGGTGATCCTCGCAGAAGGATACCAGGCAGGTCAGACAGGATTTGACGGCCTTGCCCGGCTCGCCCATGCACGTATCACAGGGGACGTTGGGCTCCTCCTGGCTGTTGCCGCTGCTTGTCGCCATTTTTGTCGTCTTTCATCCGAGTCAACTTTTTCTTTTTTTTTTTGAACTTCCGAAAGTCACTCCTGAGTGTGACAGGAAATACTTGCAAACCACGCCCAAGGTGTTATTGTCTCATTTGACATTCCTCCCTTGTTTGAGTCTTCGCTTTGCCTCACTAATCTAAAGACACAAACACACACACACACACACGCACACAATCCAAAGAAGGAAATGAGGAGTGGATGCTGATCCACGCCTGAAGAATAAACTTCCTGTTGGTCATTTTACTTCAAATGGGAAGTATGTGAGTCTGCTGTTTTTTTGTTTTTTTTTTTAAAGAAATGTGTCATGGCTTTTTGAGCAGACTATTTGCAGGTGGTAGTGATACCGTGTGGGCTAAGGTGTGTTTTTTGTAAAATTGTTTTTAGGTTCAACATGATTCAATGTGACCTATTCACATGCACTAGAAAAATAAATTAGAAAAATGGGGACAGTGGTTGTACAAACCCTGTCGGGTGAATTATTAAAACCTAATGTATTACGATTGGAAGGGAGTGCCTTTTTTTTGGGCGACATCAAACATTAGGATTATTGAAAAGGACCGGACCGTTTGCATGCTGAAGAAAATAAATTATTTGATACACACCTTCGGATTTGGATCTGCTCCATATTTCAATGGATTCTTCCTTGGTAGAATTATTGTAGAAATTTCTACTCCTGCAAACAAATAAACCACATTGTGAGTGTAATAACGTAAATAAGACAAAAAACAGATGATAACATCAAACTCTGTAAAACGTCATAAAAATGACGACATGGGCCTACTTACTCTGCAGACGACAGGGCAAAAGCTGAGAAAGTCTACGAAAACATGAAGTTGAGCGCATTTATTACATCATTTCAAGCAAATGCTAACACATTACCACTGTGCTCTTGTGCAGAGAAGTACTGGGAGATGATAAAAACCTTCCAATACATTGTTATGACTGACATTATCTACATAAATATTGACTCAGCATGCACTACACAGTGTGTGCAAGTACAAGAAATGTTGATGGGCAAGTAGTATAAAATCATCAAGGGACGCGTACACGCACACTGACATAAATCACCCCTGCAAATGTGCTGTCATCCTGTCTTGGCAGAGAGCAAACTTGCGATGTGTCAACGGGAGGCCGAATGAAATCTGATACAATATTCATTACATAGGGGGAGCATGCTATTAAAAAAAAAAAAAAAATACATGTCAAGTGTATTTAGTGTAAAACAAGAAAATGCACAGGCACGAGAGTCTCGGTCAACCCCATGGGGGCAAACGTGTCCCACGACGCAACTTTGAATCTTTACATGGATCTTCTCCATGTTAGAGGTAGATGGTTTAGTCGTCACTCTCTGCAGTGATGCACCCACCTCCGCTTGAATCATCTGGACAATATGATGGGGATGGGGTGGGGTTGGGGGTGGGGGGGAGACAAGGTTACCAACTGTCATGGTCATAAAACCTTTTTTAACTGAAAACTAAAGTAACATTTTGCCATTCCAGACTCATAGGACTGTTAACTAGGTTAACCACTGTTAATCTTAAACGTAAAAGCAACAGTGTGTTCGGCTATATTGTACTAAGCCACCAGGACGGAGATGTGTTTACAACTTTTCATCATCTTATGTTGTCACGCTACGTCGTCATCCCGCTGGGCTACTTTGTTACGTTCCAACGTTAATGCTGCGTCGTTAGGCGATGTTGTTACACTCGGCGTTATGCTCAGATGTCATTTTAAGATGTGACACTAGACTGTCATGTTTCGTCATTAGAGTACACTGTTACACGATGTTGTTATGCTGAGATGTTATGTTACATTGCTATGCTATGATGTCTCACACATGCAAACAAAGCAAAAGCGACAAGAAGCTAAATTAATGACTAAAGGTAAACCTTTTGTGTGAAATGTTTTCCCCCCCCCATTTACCAACATCTTTTAATCTCTTTGCCCACATACTGTATTTCAGGTCGCATCTGTATTTGTGACAACTTAGAATTAAAGTAAATGTCTGCATGAAACTAAATGTGCTGGCTTCTTCATGTAAAGGCTCTTGAAGGGTCATGTGTTTTTGGAGTGATGTAATTGTAGTCCACATGCAGAGCAGGTCAGGATGGGACGTTTCAGCCTCGACCTGAATCTAAGCAGATGCAGACTGCAGACATTGTCTACTCACGCTCTTGCTTCGAATGATTCACGTTTAAAATTCAGCGTCAGGTGGGGACACATTGTTTTGACGTGGGTTTTTCTATTTGATTCCACAATTCCACAAGACCAAACTGGGCACTGTGACACTGAATGGTACCTGAAAACTAACAAGACATATAGGGGACATTGTGCTCTGCAAGCGACTGGCGACCTGTCCAGGGTTTACATGGTGGCATGTCTCTTGCTCAAAGTCAGCCGGGATAGACTCACACGCAACTCGAAGGAGAAGAGCTATAGAAAATGGATGAATGAAAAGCACTTACAGTTCAGTGTCTTCAATGCACTCCGGGTCCTCTATGGTCTCAAGACGTCTCTGACAGGCATCTAAGATCTTTTTCCTGGGTCCTAATGGGATGTGGATGCTCTTGAGATCATGGTCAGAGCAGAGCAGCAGTGCTTGGAGGTCGATCTTCTCCCTCCTAAAGATGGAGAAGAACTCGCTCATGCTCTGCGTGGCCAAAAAGACCTCCAGAGGGCTGGTGAGGGCCTCGTCGTCATCGTTCAGCCCCAATTCCACCTCCTCCCAAGGAAGCTCGTCCAGGTTCCTCTCCTGTAGGCTGCGAGCACTTCCGATGCTGTCTTCATCCAGGCTGCGGTGAGGGTGCAGTCTGCTGCGCAGATGCACCGTGTTACCCGAGCCGTCAGCTGCGTCTGGATCGCCCAGGTCAAACATCCCCCCACTCACGTAGTTCCTCCTGAAGACCATGGTGCCCAGACCGGGCCGGTTGAACAGGGAATCGTGTCCCGAGTCTGTGCTGACCTCCGAGTGATCAGCGTTGGTCCCGTGGAGGTCCGGTTCGCTGATGGCACGTGAAATGGCGTCGTCGTTGTGGTCTCTGGGGAACATTTCACGGATGTTGCGGCGGCCATATTCCTTCGGATTGACATATGTTCCGGGTTTGAGGAACATGACGTCATTGCCCAGTTGGAGTCCAGAGAGGGAGCGCACGCTCTTCCTCCCATCCTCATAGATCTTGAAGGTCCCATCTCCTTGTTTCTTTTTCTCCAGCTTCTTCTGGATCTTTGTCTTCCCGCGGTTTGTGGCTTGAAGAGTAGCCTAGCAGCAACACAGGAGAGACGTGGTTCATATACTTGCAAAACGCTGTCTCCTCCTTCATCTGCTGATGACACAGCATCAGGAGCAACTGAGAGTGTTCAGCATCATGCTCTCAAACATTTTGACATGGTCACAACGGCTGAGGATCAAGCCCACAACCTTTGGGATGGGAAAAGCCCTCTCTACCACATGAGCCATGTCGTTGCCAATCTATCTAGAGCATGGGGTGTCAAAAATACAGCCCGTGGGCCGGAACCGGCCCCCAAGGAGGTTCAATCTGGCCCGCAGGATAATTTAAAAGTGAAAAAAAAATGCATTAAAGACACAGAATGAATATTTTTAATAAAATGCAATTCATGGATTATCCGCTAGGTGCAGACCGTTTTGATCAGAGTAGAAGACAACATTGTTTTGATCAGAGAAGAAAACAGCAGTCTCAATCCGTCCCTGAGACAGACCCAACACAGCAGACGGTATCAATGCGCCAATGCTTCTTTATACCAAAACAAAGGAAAGACTATTGATGATATTTTGGTTATTTATAGCAGAATATGGTATAATGTTAATGGTCCGGCCCACTTGACATCTGCCGAGTCCGTATGTGGCCCACAATGTGAAATGAGTTTGACACCCCTGATCTAGAGTCTGTTGGTTACTCTTGCTGACTATCGATCGATTGATCGATCTGTCCCTTTGTCCGTCTGTCTGCGCTCTTTCGCTTTGTGTTTGTCAGTCCATCTCACCATCCATCCATCTGTGTCTTTATTGGTATGTCTTGTCTGTCTTTTTTCTCTCTCTTCACTCAACTTTGTCCCTCATCGATCTGTGTGTTGTTGCTCTGTCCATTCATCTGTCACTCCTTTATCTGTCTATCTATCTGTCCATCTTTTCATACCCCCACCTCACATCCCTCCCGCTCACACAACCGTTTCACATTTTAATGACTGACCGATAAATGATCAGTGCAAATCAGTCATCTTTGCTGGACGGTTTGAAAAGTAAACAAGTGTTGACCTGTGAATATGGCACACTGACGGCGGCTGCGTTGAAGTCGTGCACCTTGTGGCTGACAGAGCCGCTGCTGTAACTGGAAAAACTCATGACATCTGACACGGATGCCTCGGGCACCTCCTTATGGTACTTCTTCTCCATGCGCTCGTGGTGCTTCTTTTGCATCTTGGCGCACTCCTTGATGCGCCTCTCGGCGTCTCGAAACGCCCTCTCTTTCAGCTTGTTCACCAGTTTGGGGTTGAGCCCCATTTGCTTGGAGGCGATGGAGTCCAGGTAGCGGACGCAGTCCATATGACTCTTGGTGGCCGCCATGTCAAGCGGCGTGTGGTAGTCATTATCCAGGCACCATATGTTGGCACCAAATGACACCAGGAAGAAAAGGCAGTTGTGGTGACCATTGGCAGCGGCGAGGTGGAGTGGCGTGTTGCCCCATATGTCACACTTGTCAGGGTTCCCACTGTGAAACACAATCATATGGTTAGCGACAAGATTGAATGTCACGTTTCCATCAAGCAGTGCAGAATTTGGTTCAGTTTGGTTCTGTATGCAAGGCAATTGCTCCCCACATTTTTTAGAAGATGTTGTGTACGGGTTGCATAAGTACGGTGCGGTTCATTTGAGCAGAGATGCACTGGAGTCCATTCGTTGGGCGAGAGCGCATGAACGAACCAATCGGAACCGCAGTATTGTGACACAGCAGCCATCCAACCATTTTCTATATCGCATATCAACATTGGCATCTGGGGTGAGCTGGAGCTGCCCCAATCAGTTCCCGAGAAATCTTTCTTCTTGAATTCATTGTAGTTATAATTTGGAGAAGGCCTTTGTGTGTTGCAGCAAGACTGTACCCTAGTGCAGCGGTGCACAACCTTTTTTGACCCACGGACCGGTTTAATGTCAGACAATATTTTCAGGGACCGGCCTTTAAGGTGTGGCGGATCAATATAACAAAATAAGATGACATGACCTCCATGAAAACTGTGGTATTTTCAAAACATAATAATAAACACGAGTCATGACACGAGGAACGTCCGATCTGGCCGCAACACTCTCTGGTCGCTATGGTAACGTTTAAGCGTGCCTTCAAAATAAGATACGTCGCAAATACAAAGTGCATGAAAAATACGACTCACCATCGCCGCATGTTATGCAGAGTGGGGTTGGTGAGTGAGAATTTCCCATTGAGATAAATACGGATTTTAAGTCGGACTGCTGATACTGTCTATTTAAATTTAGCCTTCTTTTTCTTGAAGCTCCTCTTCTGTCTCCTGGCTTGGCCTTTTCCCCTTCCCAAAGAATCCTTCCAAACATGTTTGTTTTTTACTCATTTTGCTAGCTCCCGGGTTTCATTTTAGCGGTAACCTATCACGTGACCAAGAAGCGCGCCTTGACCTGCGTCAAGAGTGACATACAGTAGACGGCTGTAACAGAGCAATTATTCAAAAAAAAAACATCTTTCAGAGTCTGAAACAAATCAAACGAAAGTAATGTAAGTTATTTATTCTTTTCGTGCGGCCCGGTACCAAATGACCCACGGACCGGTGCCGGTCCGCGACCCAGGGGTTGGGGACCACTGCCCTAGTGCACAAACCAAGGTCCATATTGGCAGGACTTTGGTGCCAAAGAACTTGAAAAGTGATACAGTGTCCTCAACTTTTTGTGGCAGGACCCTCGGCTGTTAGGTGACAGTAAACCTTCTCGTCACCCCTATGAGTCACACAAATGGCCGGTCAGGGTGCAATTTGAGCTCCGGCTTGTCGCTGCGACTGCTTCGCCGCCCGGCTCATGTTTCAAGCGAGGCTTTCACAAGGTTTCAGCTGGTTCCAACTGCATAATTGTGCATGGCGGATGATGTCACGCCACATTCCTCAAGTCTAATCATGACTGGTGTGACAAAGTCCTGCATCACAATAAAAGAGATCTTGTTTGCTGTTAAATGTGAAACTATCACGCATCCCGCGAATACTTTTATACATTTATAGTCATAAGGTACAAGTAGTACATCTCGTACTCATCTGAGGTGCTGAATGGGTGCAAAACGGGTCATGTTCTGCCAAGTTGTTTGTGGGGCCGGGGCTTGTGTTTGGACCTTGTATGCATGTGCCACAAAAATGCTGTCATTGCCTTTGGCGTTGACTTCATTCCACACCTTGGGCTCTGCTTCCGTTTGTAAAGTGCTTCCCAAGCTTTTTACACATCTTAAATTATGATCCGATTCAGGAACTTGGGGACTTGATTAAATAATGGAAAAAAAAAAAAAAGTTCTGGGTTGAGCAAATGAGGAATGGGTGATTGTTATATATTTAAATGATGTGCTACAAAGCCTTCATCAAACAAACCGTCAACATGCTATAAATAAATGTCAAAAGATGACATGCTATTATCTACGTTCAAATTCCATTTTGTTTTTATAATGTTCCCAGCTCAGATTACATAATGTGGGGGAACATGATTCCGATAGCTTTATCCGTGGTAATTTATGTCCCGCCGTTTAAAATGCTGAACGCAAGAGAGGGTCGTCTGTTCGTTTACCCCCCTCCCCCCCCGAGTATCTTTTATCATTTTATCTGATGTTTGCTTTATATGACAGCCGTTTGCCGAGTACGGCATCTTCCCGTGACACCCTCATCATTATCATTCAATTTATGGTTAATGTTAGAACAGTATGTCAGGCTCGTATCATGAGAGGAATGCTATGTCAGGCTCGCGGGGACTCTTGTTTGCACAGATTGCGTGGGAAATAGTGGATTTTGTTTTGTTCAGCACACGATTTGCTGACTAACTAACAGTGCATGACTATTCCTCGTTGTATTCTTGTTTTTGTGCAGAGTCTGATTCATTGTACGGGATTATGTAGCTCAGGTGTACAGGTGTTTTGAGCGTGACATCTGTACAAGAAAAGAATGATTTCTCCATTTAACAAATGAAGGGGTTGCATAAGGGGCCCATTTTTTGACTTGCAGGCGAAACCGGTCAGCCGTTAACGATGAGCCTGTTGTGTGCTTCAGAATCCCAGCAATGCCTCACGCTATGTCCCATTTACGCTGCCTGTAAAAATTGGCCCTTTTTATTTTTTATTTTTGCCTATTTTCTGACACGTTGCGGATCAAACTGGTAATCGAATCACTCGCCCCCCAAAAAATGATGTTAGTGCATTCTCTGCAATGGCAGTTTGAAAAAGTTTTGATTTTGAATCAATGAATGGATATCACAACATGGTATTTAAAATCTAATTCATCAATTAATCGCAAAAAAATAATTGAGAGGTTAATTGAATTTTAAAATGTGATTTTCAGTATGAGCACTCCATCAGTAGTTGAATCCGTATAGCTGTACCTTGATGTACAAGCGGCTCAGCTTACTTGAGCCATTGCTTGATCGATTTTTTTTCTTTTTTTTTTTTGCTTTGTGTTAAGATGCAAAATTTTCATAAGGAGCGAGATTCAGAAATGCCACCTCTCGAGTAAAGTGAAAAAAAAAGGAACCAAGAGCCAGTTCACACAACTGTGTTGCAGCTATTTTGCAGCATCTTCGTTGGAAAAGGCCACCGCAAATGCCGCCTTGCTGTATCTTCTGTGCAGACAATCCACCGCTTATTTTATCAAGCGCAATCTTTTGTGATAACAGCTGCGGTATAAAAGTCACAACGATGGCACTCTGGTTGAAGTGTCGCACCAACGGCATCCATAACAGTGAAACCATTTAGGAAGGGGTCATAATTCACGCTGGCTTTTATGAGCCCCAGCGTGGACGTTCTGGCGAGTGCGCGGTAAAATATTGAAGAGGGAACGCATGGCTGAAGAGCATTTAATGAAATCCGATAACTCACACATGACCTTGAACACTGTGGCGGTGCGCTGACATTTCAGAGTCGTCATTAAAGCACTCCGCCGGGCGTTAAAAATGACTAACTCTCTTCAGTCTCCAAGTGTTGCTCACAATTGCGGGTAAGCCGTTGCTATATAGTGGAGGTGGACACATTTTTGAGCTCAAGGGCAGCAAGTGATTGGTAAAAAAAGGACATGAGGGCCACGTCATTCATAGATTAAGTTAAAAAAAATAAAATAAACGTGAAGATGTAATGACTGTAATCCATGAGACAAATGGAAATGTCATTATTCCGTATTCCCAACACAGAGACCCCAAAACGGATATGTTTTTTTTTTTCAACCATTGACATTAAACTGTTAAAAAGAGCACACTTTAGATTGGTCAATAATTGAACAGTATACATTTTGGGAAACAGTCTTGGAGAATAGTCTTGGATTTACAGCTCCTTTCGAGGGATCCAAGGAGAAGTGTAACAACTCAGAAAAATTAACTATTTAAAAAAAAAAGTTTGTATTAATAACCAACTTGATTCATCTTAATAATAACCTATACTCATTATCTGTTGTAAGTAAAATATTAACATTAATAAAGAAGTATTTATAATTAAATTGTAATTAGCAGCATAATCATTATAGGACATTTAAAAATTTTAAGTGCATATAACTGCTATATATTATTTGTAATTCACCAATAAATTATTTTAATCCATTTTACGGAGATTTTTTTTTTTATATGCGTATCGTGTATGTTAAACGGACAATTATCCAATTCAAGTTCTATGACTGCTTCAGTTTATTTGTGCTCTTACAAGTTGCGATTCGCTGATAAAATCTTGGTTAAAATGAACTTCTCGTTTTATTTTTTTACTTATTATTCCTATTATTATTCTTTTAATGCCCCAAAGCAAAGGCTCGCATTTTGAAAAAAAAAAAGTCACGAAACTAGAACTGCTGCCTCTTTATTTACAATGGCTGTTTTTCAGCCTGCAGCAAAGCTTCCAGTCATCTGCTGGCACCACGTCTGCCATCTTCCCCACCTTCATCCTTCCTCTTGACTATGTTAACATCATACGGTCCACGTGCAACTTCAAAGTTCTCCTCCCCTAAGCGGCCCACATTTTTTGCAATAGTGGACAAAGTCACGAAACAAGAAGTGCTGCCTCATTGTTTACAATTGCTGTTTTTCAGCCTGCAGCAATGCTTCCAGTCATCTGCTGGCACCACGTCTGCCACCTTCCCCACCTTCATCCTTCCTCCTGACTATGTTAACATCATACAGTCCATGTGCAAGTTCAAAGTTCTCCTCTCCTAAGCAGCCCACATTTTTTTGCAATAGTGGACTTTGGGATAGTTCAAATACGAATCAAGAATGGGAGATAGTATCACTAGCAGCTGTTGTGAAGGCGCTATAGAAATCAGGATGTATTGTATTATATTGTATCAGAGGTCATTTGTCTTGGTGACCGTTTAAAAATGCCAATTTCAAATAGTTTGTATGTAGTTATGCTCCTATTTTTTGGGTCCAAAACATTGGTTCAAAAATCCTGCCAGATTAAAAATAAACAATTCTGCATCAACATCAAATTCAATTATGACTGAACTGAGGTATTGAGATATGAGAATTATTAAGTGGTACGTAGAAAAATATGCCGCCCAAATGAGCGGGCTCTTTTCGCACGTTCATAAATGTTCATTTTAAGTGCTTTAGTAAATTTTGCAAAGTCATACCAATTGACAATGTTCCATCATAATTAAATGGGCTCTTTCCTCACCCACGCCTTCCCCTTTTATCAACTTCCCATTGTTTTAAGTAGTTTTTGTAATGTGCCAGCGAAAAAAAATAAATAATAGCGATATCAACAGGAGGTAATAGCGCTCTATTTTGTGATAGAGGCTCCCACAGTTCTAAGAATTTAACAAGCGTGGCATTTTCCAAGATGAGGTTGCATCACCGTTTGAAGCATCAAAGCATTTGCCCTTTTGTCTACTTAAAAGTGCATTAAAAATCGTGCTTAAATAGTACACCTGGAATCATTTAAAGTGTAAACTGATTAACCTCAAATAAAGTTCAAGTTTTCTCTTAGGCTATCCTGACATTCACCCCCCCAAACCCCCCCCCCCAAAAAAAAAATCCCCAAAAAACAAAACATCATGATGGGGTGGCACGTCGCCTCACAGCGCAGAGGTCCGGCGTTGGATTCCGGCTCCGGCCTTCATGTGTGGCGTTTGCATGTTCTCCCCGTCCCCGGGCCTGCGTGGGTTTTCTCCGGGCAGTCCGGTTTCCCCCCACATTCCAAAAACATGCATGGCAGGTTAATGGAACTCTCTAAATTGTCCATAGGTGTGATTGTGAGCGAGGACATTGAGGATGGATGGATGCAAAGGTAAGCAAATGCCACCAAAATTGAATGGGTTCACGCAAACTTATATTTTAATTGGTTAATTAGTTTTTGCATCGTCATACCAGCAAAGAAATGTTCCACCAGATTGAATGAGCTCTTTTCCTACCTGCGTCTGACCGTTTCACAAAGTTTTTGTTGATGGTAAACAGTTTTTTTCTGCTGTAGTCATCACAACTAACAAGTACTGTGAACAAAAGCTAAAAGTGCTGTTTTGTGATTAAGGCTCTTACAGTTGCATGAGTTGAACAAACACGGCATTCTCATGGGTTGAGATCACCATTTGAGGTCATTTACCCCGTTAGGCTCTTGAAAGTACAACGGTAAACAAAAAGAGGGGGGCTTTCATGCAGCAAAAAGTCACATATAAAGTATTAGTCGCATAAGAGTTAACCTTTTGTAAAGATAATAAACCAAATTAGCATGGGGTAGATTTAAAAGACTAAACTGAGACATTGGGATTCATGCATTAACTGGAAAAAATATGATGAATAAATGCGAAAAACATTTTTTGAAGTAGTTTTTGCAGGAATAGTTTCAAGTCCTAAAAGTGATCTGATTGAGAGTCTTGCGAGATGAACAATACGTTTATTATTGTCAGACACAGGGGGGCAAAGGTGACAGGTATGACAGGGCACCCTCTGATTTTCCGAATAATAATTTGGAAAGGAATGTGTTAGTGTTAGTGCGATAGATGCAAATCATGTCTTTCCAGTTTCTGTGCAATACGCTTGGTGGCAAGAACAATGGACTGAATTACTTATTTGTTTGTGTCCTAGCTAGTTATGCTCTATCGTCATTGTTTTAATGATCTCAACACGAATTTGCTTATTTAGTCCTTGGGTCATTACGGAGGGGAGCAGTTCAATGCGAATCTGCTGAAAAGTGCATTTGCGCATCCAAGTTGGTGTGCTTCCACACCCTCTTCCATGCCCCTGTTTATTGTGGTTGCATAACAGTTATTCCGAATACGTCTACGACGGATTTTTTTATTATAGAGTAGGTGTAGCTAATGATGTGTCCTGTGAGGTTTTGGCTTTTTTTTTGGTACCCACCCCCTCGCCACGATGAGCCGGAGAGCCTCCAGGTTCCCGTGATAGGCCGCCCATAGCGTCGGTGTCATGCCATCCTCGTCCGGCGCGTTGAGGTCCTTGCGGGTGGCCTCCTTTAACAGGTCCAGGTAGCCGTCTCGGGCCGCTTTGTGGTACCTGTCATTCATGGCGACCCGTTAGTCCGTCCTCGTTCGTTTGCCTTCATCGACGCCTCCAGGACCGCCTGTACCACCAGCACCGCCCGCGCTACATCTGTAATCCTCGACGTTATCGTCATAGCGGAAACGGTGTTGCCGACCCACCGCCCTGCACCGGAGCGTCGGTCGGTCGGTGGCCAGACTCCCCCGAGGCTTCTTCGACGGTTTGTGCGCGTCGCTGGTATCCAGGGAGGCGACGACGCGCTCGTACACCGCTCAGGCCGCCTGAACAGTGCTCCCCCGTGGCCGACCTGCTCCTAAACACAAACACACACACACCAGGGACCCTCACGAGTTAATAAAAGCCAAATGACTCCATTCTACTACTGGTACTATTAGCGGTACCATCAGGACCGCCACCTGTTCCTACGACGGTGACTACTACTTCTACTACAGTACAAAAACATTTCTGATACTACTTGGACGATCACAACTCTAATTTGTACTACTACTGTACTTCTAGTACAGTCAGTAACAACTACCGTACTACGACTATAGCAGCATGAACACTACGACTACTAGGCCTACGACAACAACAACAACAACAAAATACTACCACTTCAGCAACACAACTACTGTGGCTACTACCACAACAAAGACATCAACAAATACTGCTACAAATACATTGACAACAACAACTTCACTTATAGGAGTATCCTTTGTCCAAACGACAGCATCAATAGCGCTAGTACTACTACGACAACTATTAGTAGAACAGTAACTATTCTACAACACTTCTACAACTACTAATAGCACTAGAACAACAACTACTAAATCAACAAATGGTCCAAGATCAACTACTCTAACTACTGTACTACAACAAGAACAACCACAAGTAATACTACAACTACTACTGATAGTACTACGACTACTACTAGTAATACTACCCTTACGATGACAACAAATACTACTAGGAGTAGTACAAAACAACACTACTACTATTAGTGGTAGTAATAAAAAAAAAAAGGATTAATGGTTGAGCATTTATTCTATATCGCTGATATTCAAGAAAAAAAAAGTCGACACAACCTCGTTCAAATGCCAGATTTTTGCAGGTTGAAAAGTAAGACCAAGTTATATAATTTCAAAATATTTTCAACCGTCATTGTGTCCTGCGAACTTTTCAACTCGACTGAATAAAAAGAACCTTTGAGAGATGAAATCCAAACAAACAACTGGAAAAATGCGGTTGCACAAGTGTGCACACCCTTTTATAATAGAGATATGGCTGTGTTCACAATTAACTAATCACATTCAAACTCGTCAACACAAAACGGACACCAGTCAACGTGCCTCTGATTAACCCCAAAGAAAGTTTAGCTGCTCGAGGAGGCTTTTGAGGGATTTTTTTTTTCTTCAAAGCAGAAGTCTGACGGCTTTTGTGCTAACACAAACACTCATCTCGAATAAGACCTCAGTTCCTGGTGAAGGGAAACAGTCTCAAAGCATGATGCTGCCACCCCCACACTTCACTGTAGGTATGGTGGTGTTCTTTTGGTGATTATTGTTTGAGGGCCTTGGTAAAAATCCTTATTAATGCGCATTTGTGGGTTATTTGATTTGAGGCTTATTCTAACAGGTACCGACTCAGAGGTTGCATTTGCTTTTAGAATTGCTTGGCAGGTCAGATCAATAAGGTCACACAGGCCGCGGGTTTCTCTCCTTTGATTTAGGAAAATCATGCTTTGCTGGCAAAATTTTATTCGACCCGCTGGCTGACCGTAAGGTGAAAATTTTGAGCCTTTTAAGACAAGAGCACTCCTGTAACAAAGTCATTTTCCTTCAAACTCATCTGTCGGATGTTGAAAAGTCTCACTTGACTGAAGGCAAATACAGTAACTGATTGAAATATACTTCCTCATTGCGACAGACTCACCAGGAAGAATAGCGTTTGACGTTTGCTTGGCGCTCTCTTCACTGTGATTATATTAAGCCCGGCGTCTCTGATGACACACCACGGGCGTACACAAGGAAGGTTCCGTGTTTCATACGGGCTGTTGTAATGTTGAAAAAGCACCTTAGTCAGCCTCACCCTGACAAGCATCCTGCACGGCAGCTAATCGAAAGATAAGCATACATACATATATATATATATATACACATATGTAAAATTTATTAATTTTTTTTTTTTAAAGAAATTCTGCCACAAGTGGGTCCCTGCATTGAAATTGTGGTGCCCAACTGAAACCTGCATGACAATGGCCAGAAATGGATAAGTGAGATGCTGATTTGGGGGCGGCAGGTTCATGTGGCCCACCCTTGAGAGCACACATACACAGACGACAAAACATCTTTAGAAGGGTCTTGAATAGCCCTAAAAACCTGAAAGTAGTCCCTTCAAGCATGAAATCAAAGATAGGCAACTGCACTCGCTCCACACGCCTATTTGGAGAATTCCCATCATGTTGAAATTGGGAGGCTCAAGTCAAAGATCATAACAATTAAGCTTTACCAGTCCTACAAATGGGCAAATTCAGATTTTATAGCAGCAGCACAAAAGAATAATAATGTTAGACAATCAAATATATGACAGCATATGGACCGTTATGTTTATTTACTAAGAGTGGCAATGACACAAGTACATATGTTGTGCATATGTGAATTGTATGAATGAATAGCGTTTGACGTTTGCTTGGCGCTCTCTTCACTGTGATTATATTAAGCCCGGCGTCTCTGATGACACACCACGGGCGTACACAAGGAAGGTTCCGTGTTTCATACGGGCTGTTGTAATGTTGAAAAAGCACCTTAGTCAGCCTCACCCTGACAAGCATCCTGCACGGCAGCTAATCGAAAGATAAGCATACATACATATATATATATATACACATATGTAAAATTTATTAATTTTTTTTTTTTAAAGAAATTCTGCCACAAGTGGGTCCCTGCATTGAAATTGTGGTGCCCAACTGAAACCTGCATGACAATGGCCAGAAATGGATAAGTGAGATGCTGATTTGGGGGCGGCAGGTTCATGTGGCCCACCCTTGAGAGCACACATACACAGACGACAAAACATCTTTAGAAGGGTCTTGAATAGCCCTAAAAACCTGAAAGTAGTCCCTTCAAGCATGAAATCAAAGATAGGCAACTGCACTCGCTCCACACGCCTATTTGGAGAATTCCCATCATGTTGAAATTGGGAGGCTCAAGTCAAAGATCATAACAATTAAGCTTTACCAGTCCTACAAATGGGCAAATTCAGATTTTATAGCAGCAGCACAAAAGAATAATAATGTTAGACAATCAAATATATGACAGCATATGGACCGTTATGTTTATTTACTAAGAGTGGCAATGACACAAGTACATATGTTGTGCATATGTGAATTGTATGAATGAAGCGTATACTGTAGATGTAAACAGCAGCAAGAATAGTCAGTGGCGTTGTATGTACCCAAAACTTTAAATGTCTCAATAGTCTACTATAGCATCAGTGTTATATGGCGACTGCACCTGAATAAATACAAGGTTAAGATGTAAATGGCTGTAACGATAGTCATTTGCAATGTATTTACCAAAAAAAAAAAAAAACTATAAAAATGTCAATAGTCTGCTTCAGCATCGGGTATGCGGCGTATTGTACCTTAACCCTTTCGGGGACAGCGATTACTACAGTGGACATAGATCATGGTATCAGGTTACAGGGTGCATGAAAGGGTTAATAAATAAGAGAATGGATACAGATGGGAAGGTGAACAGCAGCGAGAATAATCAGAAGCGTTGCATGAAGCAAACAAAAAAAAAAGAAGGGAAAAAAAAGATGGATACCACTACAGACTGGAATGTATGCACATGTGAATGTAAAGAGAGGCAAGAATAATCAGTAGCATTAGAAAATATGTCCAAAGAAGTAACAGTGAAAATGTACATCAAGCACATAAACATGTACAGAACGTCGAGTGTGTTTTCTGAGAAGGAACCGGTTTCAGTGTGCGGTGGAATTAGTGAGAAAAACGTATAAACGTATTACCTGGAAACATGTTGAACTTTCGTGGAGTATTTTGAGCAAAACAGGATTTGTTTGGTCATAATATGCTTCGCTGCTCACGACAGATTTATTGACCTTTGTGGCTCCTCCAGCTGTGTTTTGGATGCCTATAAAAAGGGGGACGGACACCTCTGCATCCCACACTTGCGGTCAGGTCAGTCTACAGGTAAGGTCCAACCTCTACAGTCACTTTTTCTGTCATTTCGAATGAGTGTGAGTGCATGTCATTGTGAGAAGTGATACAATAGTCATACTTTATTAATGTACTTGAGTAAACTTTTTAGGAATCTGACAATTTTTTCTTTACGTTCACTTCCGACATTTGAAAACAGACATTTTGGACTTGAGACTCCTTACTTTGTCAAAATAGGCTCGTTACTTTGATCGACCTCCGCGGGTTGATTACAAAATGAATTTAAAAAAAATGTAATATAAAAATGTGAAGTCAACCACAGATGAGATTTAGATTTATTGGTTGATTGATATTTTGGGATGTTATAAGACGCAACAGTACCGGAGAAGCAATATATTTCCCGTGCGCGACTCATTTATGTCAGAGAAAAGTGTATTTTCCTTGTTGACGTTTTGAGAATTTAGCCTCTTTTGTGTCAGTTCACAATGTTGCCAGGCCACTCTTAAAAAAAAGATTGCACATCTTAATGAGTTTTTTTTTTTTAACTCGGTGAAATGAATCAATAAATCAAATGAGCAAATGTGTGGAAATTGATTGTTTTGATGGTATGAAAGCTGAAGCTAACGCTACCCAGCTTTTTTCATCTCACAACAAAAGTTAAGTCTTTCCTGCATCCTGTAACCTGATAACATGATAAGCCGTCCACTGTACTAGCCACTGTCCCTGAAAGGGCTAAAAAAATATATATTTTTTTTCATTCTGCCAACTTATCAAAATGTCCACTGTGTGTAATTGAAAGTAAGAATCAGATTTCAGAGTCTATGATTTGTTCCGTTCACTTTTGGTAAAATAATTCAATATTCTCTTCAACGAATTGGATTTGAGAATTGAATATGATGAGTTTGGAAAACTTTGCGCCACTCGCTGACGAACTCAGCTAAACCAGTGTTGCAATGTCAAGGTGCCAATTATGTTCCGCTTACGGAAAAAGTTTGAACCTGGGCGGGTTCTTTAGGGGGAATGGCAAACAATGGGTGAAGCTTGTAAAACCAGTCACGTCTCAACCCCAGTTACAGATGCTGCCGGTAATTCAAATGCGCTCCTATGTCGCAGGAAGCAACCATGTGTTTGAACACGGGCTCCCCGTGCAACTGTCTGGCCGACGGGAGCCCTTGCGAACCCTGCGGGATGAACAAAAACGGGGAAGGTCGGGGTCACGCCTCCCCGCACGGCGCCGCGGCGGAGAACACGGGCGAGCCTGACCACCCGATTGAAAAAACAAGTTCTTCGAGTAAGGAAAGGGACAGAAACTGGGGATGGATTCTGTCCGGGGTCATCTTTATCAACGTCCTGATGTTGGGTATCGCGCTGGTGAGCGGAAGCGCTTACGAGCACGTCGACATCAGCATGTCTGACCTCCAGGTTTTCCTCGTTATCGTCCTCATCCTCACCAGCATCTGGATGATCTACTATATCATCTTCACGGCCAGGATTGAAAACGCCGTGGCGTACAGGGACCAACACGCCGGGCCCGTGTGGCTCAGGGGTATGTAATCTTGACATGTACTATTTTTGCTGGGGGGAGCTTAATAATAAAGTCTCAACATCGCCCGTCTTCTTAACTCTGCAGGAGGAATGGTGCTGTTTGGACTCCTCAGTATCATTATGGACTTTTTCAAGATCGCGAGCTATGTCGGCTACCTCCACTGCGAGTCGGCCATCAAGATTGTTTTTCCCGTGATCCAACTTGTTTTCATTGTTGTGCAGGTAAATATAAGTCAAGCGCCCATGTTAATTAGAAGAGGTACGGGTGGAATGTCTCCTAAAATGTTCAACTGGCAAATCTGTTTTCAGACGTATTTCATGTGGGTCCATGCAAAGGACTGCGTACAGCTCCAAAGGAACCTTACACGGTAAGTGACAGATGATCAATTATTCCTTACAGAACTAAGTTATCTCTTGCCCTAAATTCATGAAAGAAGAAAGATTTGTCCCATAGGAAACAACTGAAATCCATCTCAGGGTATATCAACTAAACAGGCAATGTTTTAAACACATATTTACGGGAACTGTCGCGGAAGTAAAAAAAAAAAAAATCACGTTTTTAATCGTAAAAAGAATCGAACACTCAGCCTTAACTTTGCCAGTGTGACAACTCATATAGATAGATAGACGCTGATTGACATGGCAAGTGATTTGAAACCGGTTGCGCGACTCTATTGTTGTGATTTTCCCTGAAAGTTTTGGTCAAATTCCGAACCCCATAACCGCGCGTTCGTGGGAAGAGACACAAGTTTCAGCTCACGGAACAAAGAAGTGGCTGCGCTTAAGCGTAAGACCATTGAAAATACTTTCAATCATTTTCCAAGTCATTTCAAAAACAACATGATCTAAACCAATGGTGTCAAAGTTAAGGCCCGGGGGCCAGATCTGGCCCGCCACATCATTTTATGTGGCCCGCGATACATCAAGATACCACCAGATGGTGCCAAAGTAATAAAACTGCTTCGTCCTGAGAACAGGGACGGCTAAGCGTTTGAGTAACACAGAATAGGTCAGGAAAGATTCCTGGAAGGGGCGAGTCTCCAAATGTCGAACCTCAAACGTGTTGTGGTTGACTGTACTGATTGAACACCTTAATTGAAGTAAGAACAAAAAAATAAAGTTTTTTTTTTTTTAATGAAACAATTCTCTATAAACAATCTTGCCTCTCCAAATCAGTTGCGTCATCATTGTTAATGCTGGCTGAATTCTAAACAAAAGAGGAAATCTGCCGCCACGACAGGCACCGACCACCTTACAGCCACAACTCCGATCGGCTGCCCCAACAATAGCGTAGTATGAAACATAGTCCACTCTGACTCAATGGTGTCCATCCAAGGTGATTTTGGGCAAGAGACGGCTGGGTTGTACACTCGTGACTGGTAATCAGCAAATTGCAGCAAAATGGCATTTAAAAAAAAAAAAAGCAGCTTTTGTTCAGTTTGACAATTCCAAGAGTTCGATCAGCAGTCAGACTTTGACTCGAGATTTAAAGACAGCCTAAAATTGTCCCTTACACCTTGGTTTTTTTTTGTTTGTTTGTTTTATTGTAGTTTAGTATAGAAGGCGACCAGAGACATTTGGATTAAAATAACATGAAGTACAATAAACATTGATTCTACATTTCCTTGAGGAATGTATAGGTATATTTGTCATACCGGTGAAGGAAGTACAAAGTATTATTTTGCGTCACGATGTGCTTGGCGTCTATGGAAAATCAAACTAGCACCGCCCTTCTGCTTGATCCAGGAAGTAGTCTGCTCAGTCATTGAAATCCAGTTAAGGCACATAGTTGACATTACCTGGACAAAAATCTCACAGCAGTTGTGCCACTGTATGTTGCTGGCATAGATAGATGAAAAAAAAGAAACATTTGCAGGGATGGAAATTCCAGGTACAGAAAGTAAAAATCCTGCCACAGTTTGGCCCCAGTGGCTAAAACCAAACTATGACAAGGTTTTTTCGTTTCTGGACCTGGATTTCTCATCTCT